ATTATTATTAAAACTCATTAGTATTCATGATAATTGTTAAAAGTAAAACGAAATCAAAGATTGTTTATAAGGAGAAGAGAATAACTATGTTTAAATCTTGGTATAAATATGACGTCTGGAAGCACGACAGCAGAGTTGAAGGTTCAGTTAGTGCGGACCTTTGAAGAATGTGATTATGAAGAACCTTCGAGAAATACAAGGGAATTTAGGACAATTGAAGTTTCATTTTGAAATATCATGGAACGTACTAGAAGAAGTGACATTAGTTACGTCAAGGAGGCTGGCGTCTCTCTCTTTAAAAACAACGAATTTTGTATAAAATCCGATATATATTATCAATCACGCGCTTTGTAAAGGATTATTTTAAAAAGTAAAGTTCTACGCTGCTCAACAAAGTCACTTGAAACATTTTGCCTTGACGAGTAATGTGAAGTTGTCTATTATTTTCATTCAATGGTCATGAACGAAACTTACAATAGCACACATTAATATATTACGAACTTATATTGTAATATTTTACACATGTTAATCCTGAACAAACACAATGTTATTTTAATGAAATATCCTAATACAAAAACCTTTCTTAATACCATTCAATTATAACCCCTTTTATACTTTCTAGTATGTACAATACCTCAGTATCAATATTTAATTAAATTATATGGAGCCAATATTCATTACTAAAGTTTTAAAAGGAATTCCGATACTTCAGTTTTTCTTTGTAAACCATCAAAGCAAAATATTTCATTAGTTATATTATTGTTGAATGTGTTAAAGTTTATATTTGTAAGTGACAAAACCGATATTTTAAAGCAACAAAGTTGCATAAATTTTCTGATAAAAAAGCAACAGAAATAAAAAAGAGTCCAATGAAATACATACATACAAAGATGACTAATTTAATGAATCCCAAAAATATTCAATTAACCGATGTCAATCAAAATCCTTTTAAACAATTAATTTAAATTTCGTTATCGTGAAACCTGTGGAGCGCTCTCAGTTAAGCGAGTCTCGGTTAGTATTGTTCTTTGTGGATCGCCATTAAACCTTAGTTAACTTAAAGGTAAAGAAAATGTATTAAATTCAGTGTTAATTACAGATGGTTATTGTGTTTCATTGGGTTTGTTAAGGTTACTGTTTAGTTAATTGTATTTGAGACCATTTAAACAGGGTTTAAAAAGACGTTTTTGTTGTTTGAGATCACTATAACAGTTAAGATCGATAAGATAATATACGAAATGTAATTATAATAAAGTTGGAATGGAACGGATATATAAGTAAAAGCGGAGACAAATTGTATTGACGCCAATTTCACCATTGTTGGAGCTTCGATACCCAGTCGTCTGGATTGGGAGCCGGTTATTATGCAATACACAGAATGGCATTTGGAAATCTTGATAAAGATCAACTTTAATTCCTCGATTTTGTCATAATATTGTACAATAATTTTATATGAAAAAACTGTAGGATGCGTACGACTTAACCAACTCATGTTTTTCATTTAACCTTAAGCTATTGTGGCAACTAAACCGTTCTATATTTCACGAACATGCTTATTATAAGACATAAAAAAATCATTAATCAGACTGGTTATTATCAAAATATTTTTAGACTTTTATCTGTACATTTTAATGGTATCATTCTCATACTTATTTGGGCAGTATTGTCTAAATTTTGAATTTTATGCTATCAGTGATCTTGTAACATCGGTACATATATCAAAATGTTTAAGGTAAACAGTACAAATTTAGATAGAGTATTTTGATTTATTTCCATAACCTATGTTAAAGAAAATTTGTTTATATTATGAAGGAACGTTTAAACATAACTAAAGTATAATATTTAATTATTTCTCCTCAACATGTTTCTGCTAGTTTCAGCAACAGGTAAAGTATTAAATATTATGACCGGTATCAAAACGATGTAGACCTATTGTAATTATTACTTCTCGCTATTCATTAACCATCACACCTTTTTATAACCCGCTTTTATTATAATTGAGGCATTTCCTCATACATTTTTGTGATAACGTCAATCCTATTTATCTTTCAAATAATCCAGGAAAACAATTTTTATACAGGGCATAGTTATTGACCCTGGCATAAGATACAAAATTTATAGTATAGTACTGCCACGACTTGAAAGCCAAACCGAGAAACATTTATAATAAAAACCAAATATAATTTAATACCGATTTCATCCCAATGTGAAAATAATCCAGTCCATTGAACTTTTCCCTGACTAATATCATGACACCTCTAGTTATCAGATAAAAATTAACATAATTGTTTAATCAAATAAATAATTAGTGGACATATATTTCTATTTTGGATTAATTAAATATATCTGGGAATTATGCAGTCATTATCGCCGGTAATAAACATTACCAAATTAAGTATTAGTAAAACAAACGGAAACGGGGCGTAATTAATAGGCCGCGTAATTTTGTGCCGTGAAATTAATTTGAGGTCGAGCCGTGTTCTTACATATTATAACGACATCAAAAAATAAAACATAAAAAAACATCATACAAATAAATAATACCAAAGTGAGGGAAAAACTTGAAAACAAATTTACAAATAATTCTATCAAATGAACTATACAAAAATACCTATAATAATAATACAAAATAATATGTAGCTAATTAGTTATTTGACTTTAAACCCAAAGGTGTCATTAATAAGACACAAAAAAAATTCTTTAAAAAATATTATTTTATATATAGTATGTACATTCATCTGCGGTCACGAGGTCTTTACTTCCATACGGAACCCAACTGACATCTGTCCAAGTGGTTGAAACAAAATAAATTATTTAGACGCAATATCAAATGTTCTCATGTTTGCCTACTTTTTACCACTTACTATTTCAGAAATAAATTTGGAAGTTCTCCCTAATGTAGCGATTTACGATAAAAAATATTATGTCTTTTGTCAGCACTTTCAACGCATAATGAAAGTAATTCAATTAAATGTAAAGGAGAAAGTATATAAGTATAAATGAAAATAAAACATAAACTTTAATGATGAAAGGTTACGGTTACATTCTATTGATAAGTTATATTTGACATAAAAATCTTTACTAACATTTTCAAAGTAATTCTTTTAACTCTGTAGAATGGAACGATAAGAAATAAAATAGTTACCTATACAAATAACTTTTAGTTAAAGAAAAGGCGATATTTACAGAATCCCAACAATGGAATCAAAGGGATTCCAAAAAAGCAACCACAAAAGTAAAAAAAAAAATCGCTGTTTATTCACAAAGAAGGAACGCAAATTCTTTGCCTTTAGTTAGAGAACGTCAGTGTTTTTCTTTACAAAGCTTTTTACTGGAGTGAAATCACTTTTCATATACCCTCTGAATCTTTCTTACTTGTTTTGTCATCACCTCTTTGTAGAAGAAAATGATTTTTATTTTGTGTAAATTTACAATAACATTTTTAAAATAGTGTTTAATTTTATAATGTTTATAATCTACTTTGTCAAGGATTATTCTCACATAATGGATAAATAATATAATAAAATATATAAATAAATACAATCACAAACATGATTATTATTTATTAATTATCAAAAATAATTAAATGTGTACATTCGTATTTATAAAATTAAACATGAACTAATTCACCATTTACTTTGAAAAAATACTTTTAAAAGTGGTTTTATACTACTTAAGTCAATAACTTATAACTATAATGTCAACATTTAAATGAAACTAATATTTTCGGATTTTACTTCGCGTTTTATTTTAGAAACTACATACTCCCGACGTTTCGGCTACTTTTCAGCAACCGTGATCACGGGCAGACGAGATGTGAGTGTCTGTCAGTTGGTCTGGTCATTTTATCTCCTACCGCCATCGATTTCTTAATTGTCTTGCGTACCGCTCTGGATGCCGGCAAAATGCGCTCACGGTGTCTCGAGGTCCTGCGGTGTGGTCACGGACATGGGATTTTATATTTTTAAGAAGAGGATCCCAGGTGTTTGATAGGTTCCAGCTATCTTCTCTATTGAAATTGGGGTGTTTTTTAATTTCAATAGCCTCGCGGATTAACCTTGGTATATATCTGTCTTCACGAGCGAGGATATGTGGTTGATCAAATCTAATGTAATGGCCTGGTTTGTCCAATGCATGTTCGCACACTGCTGACTTCGACGCGCGCCTATTCCTGACGTCTGAATTATGTTCCTCAACCACATATCCTCGCTCGTGAAGACAGATATATACCAAGGTTAATCCGCGAGGCTATTGAAATTAAAAAACACCCCAATTTCAATAGAGAAGATGGCTGGAACCTATCAAACACCTGGGATCCTCTTCTTAAAAATATAAAATCCCATGTCCGTGACCACACCGCAGGACCTCGAGACACCGTGAGCGCATTTTGCCGGCATCCAGAGCGGTACGCAAGACAATTAAGAAATCGATGGCGGTAGGAGATAAAATGACCAGACCAACTGACAGACACTCACATCTCGTCTGCCCGTGATCACGGTTGCTGAAAAGTAGCCGAAACGTCGGGAGTATGTAGTTTCTAAAATAAAACGCGAAGTAAAATCCGAAAATATTAGTTTCATTTAAATGTGTACTCGCGAAAATCTTAGATCTCATTATAATGTCAACACCCCTATATAAAGGTAATTTTCAGTAACAACATATTATAATTGTCTCCTTTTCTAATTTCAGTCAATAAAAAAAAAAAACTAGTGGGAGAGTTATCAGGTGGAAACTTCAACGATCCTCTTAATACTTTTATTCCATAATGATTCCTGTTTTTGAGCTATTCTGTTATTTCCAAGTATTTATAAAAAATGGTACCTCCTACAACTTTCAAGTACCAGCAAAACAGTTTTAAATATAATTTTATAAATTATTTATTTCTTGACAAAGTAATAGTCCCTATTGCAATGATTGCTTCAGTGAACTTGCTATGTAATTCGTTCAAAGCAAGGCATTTTATCTAACCTATATTAATATTAAGTAGAATCTTTAGCATTTTATTTTCCTGCAGCTGCTCTTTCTTCGATCTCCTGTTCTAGCTCCAACAATCTTTGCAAAATTCTTTGGCGACGCCTTTCCATAGGAGTTTTCGACCACCAAGATTCCGCTGCTGTATCCTAATAAATTAAATAAAAATAGTAATTAGAAGCCGATAAAATATACAAAAATAAAACTGTGGAATAAAAAATTTACTTACATATTCTACATAAACTGGTTCTAGAAGACTAAATTGCAACGCTATCTCGTGAGCAGTAAGAGCACAAACGCGCAGCTGTAATCTCCTCTTAGTAGTAAGAATAGTTTCCAATGCTGATAATAAAGTCCCTAAAAATTATTAAATTATTATTATACTCGTATTTTATTATTTCTTCTCAATAAAACATATTTCTTTACCTATTGTATACGAATCAGATAATCTTGATAAACAAGAGAGCTCTAATCTAGGTGACAGAGCACCAGCTCTATGCAGTTTTGTTCGCCACATAAGCGAAATACTTCCATAATCACCTCGCGGTATCTGTATCACTTTTGAATAACATTGAAACAGAAGCTTCTGCTCAGCTTCCCATGGAGTCTTTGATGTACCCACAAATAAAACACAGTCTTCTGGACATATCCCTATGAATCAATATTTTCGGTATTAAATTATTGTATTTATGATTTCATACTATTAGAAACATCAATAATGATTTACAATTTTACTTCTTGAATTAATCGTTGACATGATTATAGTAGAGGTTTATTCTCTTGTCTGTGATTTCTCTGTCTATTTTCAATTTAAATTAAAAATTAGGTAATATGTCAACATTCATTCAAAATGAGTGATTAAAAAAATAATCATATGAAATTATATCGCTTTAAGGAAATAAAATATTATTATTACCTTTTATTATTTTAACCAAATCCTTCTTCAACCGCTTTGGGTCAGTTTTATCCGTTTTTGGTATCTTTTTTACAAAAGGCTTTTCAGCGTCATCCATCCAAATAACTGAAGGTTGCAATAATCTTGATACTTTCATTACAAGGTGTATCAGCATTATTAATCCAGATTTACCTGGATATTTACCAACTATGTTCGCAGGACTCAAATCAAATAGCGTTGCCCCAGTTTCATGACATATTGCATAAACCAACATCTTCTTTCCACTTCCTGAAGGACCTAAAAGTGATAGCATGAATATTGTTTTCTTTTTAATATAAACTTCTATTTTTAAATAAAACCCTTGTTTAAAATACCTGTTATCAAAACTGATCTTATAAGTGGGGCACTCGCTCTTATAGTTTCAGATCCAAGGGGGAGTATGCAATATTCTTTTACTAATTGTCGAATGTCACCTAAGCATGGAGTTGGTTCTCTACCTTCTTTCCTATATTCCGATCCAACAAAACTTTTTTCACCTATGAAATCATCGATTTTTACTGGTGGATAAGGTCGAATAATACCATTGGTAACCAATTCTTCAAACAGTGATTCTGTAGTTCGGTCTGGAGTAAGGTCTTTTTCCTTTTTCTTCTTATTTTTCTTACCACCTCGCCGTACCTTTAAGAGATTCAATAATTTTATTCCAATACGTAATAGTAATAACATAACATAATCAGAAAATAATTACTTTTTTCTGTGGCTTTTTACTTTTTTTTCCTTTATGAGCTCTGTCTCGATCCAATGCTGCCTGCAGTAGTTCTAACTCACTTCTCATCGTTTCGTCAACAATATTTCTTATTTCTTGTTCCACTTTTAGCATTTTTTCTCTCTCTACCATATCTGAATCATATTTTTCATTCTGATTATTGCCATCGTCACGAAATTTCCAAATATCTTCGTATCTATAAAAAAGAAATTCTTATAAATATAGAAACAGCGTAAATACATTTTTGTTGTAACCAAACATACTCCTCATTTGCTTCAATCAAATCCTTCAAAAAGGAGGAAGGATTACATTTAAATGTTTTTAAGTCTTCAGCTTCATCCTTATTTTTTGCATCTTCTGTTTTGTTACTCTTTTTATCTTTGCTCTCCTTACTTCTTTTGGAATCTTTAGATGATACCGGAGATGACTTGCTCAAATCACTATCCATTCTAGTTCCTATCGCAATAAAAGATATAATAAGTAAAATTGTTACACATAAATACTCATACATGCATAATCAGTGGTGGCCTAGTAGTTAAAGGGTCCGCCTCTCGTTGCCGATGGCGCGGGTTCTAATCTGGCAAGTACCAATGTGATTTTTCGGAGTCATATGTACTTTCTGAGAGTATTTAGACACCACTGACATACGGTGAAGGAAAAAATCGTGAGGAAACCTGGACTTATAGTTTCACGATTATAAGTTTGAAATCACCAACCCGTCTTGAGCAAGCGTGGTGATTAATGCTCAAACCTTCTCCATGTGAGAAAGAGGCCTTTGCTCAGCAGTGGGCGTTGATAGGCTGATGACGACGACATGCATAACTTTATGTAAAGAAAGTAATACCTTGTCTACTAAACATCGCTCTGCTACCACCTCCTTCTTCCGATGGAAGTTCTGGTAATTTACCAGTTCTTTCATAGTACTCTAATATCCAACGTCTCAGTTCATCGCTTATTCTTTCATTTATTTTTGCACCATGCTTAGATTTCACTCTTTCTTCAGTTTTTTCAAGTGCGTCTTGAAATTCTTTCTCGAGCTCTTTTTGACGATCACGTCGATTTTGTTTAACCTATAAAGATATTTTGTTATTATTATGTATTTAAATAATATAAAATTTGACATGTTTACCTGTTCAGCCCTCTCCATTGCTTTAGATTCAATGTAGGGTGGCAATTGCATTCCAATTAAAAGTTGCTCTTCTTGCTTTCTTCTGCGTGTTGCACGCCTCGCGATGAAACCTCTCCAAACTCTTTGAATTGCAGTAGCTGCTGAAGCTGACATTTCACCTTTTTGGTCACGACCTTTTTCTTTTAAAAGTCGTATTTCTTTCATAAATTGTCCCCTTGTAAAATTTTATTAAGAAATTTATAATAGGTAACTAAAATAAAATATAAATAAACAGAAGGGAAAAGGATAACAAACTTAGTTAATGGATAATATAAAGACGGTATTATTGCAATATCAAGTAAGGTAACTAAATTTACCTCAATCGACCTTGCCTGGCTCTTTCATGACTTTGAATAATAATAACAGCCTGTTGCTCAGTTAGTACAAGTGGTTTCGGTTTTGGTGGTTCATAACCAAGTTTTCTTAGAGTTTCAATTATAAATTCACGTCTTTTTTTAATGTCTTCTTCTCTTTCTCTTACAAAATATTGAGGAACACACGGTTCAGCTTCTAAAGGTGTCAAACTGAGTTTTTGTAAGACCTGAAATGTATGAATGTCTACATTGTTTAAATTAATAATTAATAAATAATAAATTTAAAAAAAATGTTTTAAAGCTACCTCGTCATCATCAAATGTAAAATCAGATAGATGAAGTTCAACTAGCTCCTGTTTTATCTCCAAAAGCCTTCCTAAACAGGCTTCAAGCAACCTTTTTATAATCAAGCGCTTTTGAGGATGTAAAATTTGATCATATACAGTGTCCAATCTTGAAAGTAATATCGTGTAACGTACTCGTAGTTCACATAACAGGGGTTCGAAGGTTGATTTTTCAGCACTTCCAACTTCAAAAACGGCTTCATCAGCTTGTGTCGTTTCAACTATAAGCTCCGAGGTTTCACATATTAAATCATTGTATGTTTTATTGGACATTTTTTTTTGTAATTTTTTTTATTTCTATACGTAACTTCAATAGATTCACTAACAGCAAAATGTTAGTATATCACTAGGCTGTTTGTTTGTTGTCTCACAAGGTTAACAACAGTATCTACGCAACCCTACGTTTATATTTTTAATAAGCAGTATAATCAATACAATACTATCATAAATATCGATAAAACTATGCATATTTATTTTAAAACCGTAAATAAACGTCCACTTAGGAATAATAAACTTTGCTATTTGATACCTCACAAAACTGTTATTTCAAATTCTAAAACAAACTCCACATCTTATTAAGCTTAATAAGTATGTTTTTACAATAAACATGGCATCAGCCAAATAATCCTAAATGAAATAACCTTAATCCTACTAAAGACATAAATAAAAAGTAAGTAATATTTCTACACCCACGACACTGTGTTGCGTGTAATCTCAAAAAATATGCGCGGCTTTATCGAACAAACAGGCGTCACTTCGTTTACTGCGGTTCACTGGCCACTTTACTTGTGAATCATTTTATTTACAATTTATATTCATTTGGAAAAAAAATCAATACGAAATTTTAAAAACAAAGTTATGATTAACTTCTGATAGTACTAAACCATAATACACAAGTAGAAAATAAAAGTAGCTTTTTATTTATTTACACATAGGAAAAAATATAATATGAAGGCAAACAAGGACCGAATCAAACTGCTATCGCCACGTTACAGTTGGATTAACGTGTTCTTGTTTGTTATTGTTAAATTATTGGGTTAAATTTTTGGGACAATAGCGTCCACTTTATCTTATCTAAGCCTTTTAACTCAATGACTATAAACGACATGAATAAGAGCTCATAGTTTTTTATAAATTTGTTTACGGCAATAAATAAATTGATATATTTTTGAGTTTTTGTTTTTAATCATAGCAACTTTATTACTGAATCGTTATTATGTTCTTATTTGAAAATATTAAATACGTGTTCCAAGTACGATACTTAAATTAATCCAAGAAAACTAATAAGATACATAACTAAAACACTAATAATCTCAAATTATATCTTCAACGGAAAGCTTAAAGCCAATATTAGTAATTTATTATATCCAGTCTATAATAAGGTTGCAAATTTAAACAAGCTAACTGACGCTATCGCAATACTACATCTTGTTCATAACTTTATTACTATGTTAAACAAAATATTCTTTCACTAAAACTATTAAGACTCTTAACTCTAACGTCGTAAGGTTGATAATACTGTATATACCCAGTGCAAAAAGTTCAGTGAATAAACAATTCCAAAAGTTGTTCAAGGATATAATATCCGTTGCCGAGCTTGTAATTATTGGAGTTTAAAATAAGGAGGATGATATAATTTGCAATATTTCCCTCATCAACAATTATTCACAAATAAACGATTTGTTAACAAAAACTGCGCTATGTGTATATTCTAATTAAGATAGCATAACATGTAACTGTTTATCAACTAATTTGATAGATTTTGATTCAATTAAGAATTGGTTTTGTCTAAGCAAATCAATATGAACATCGAAGGTAGCATATTTTATTAAGTATATTTCAAACTACATATTTATGTATCAATGCAAACCATAAAAATCATAATTAATAAAATTAAAATACTGCACTTAACACTATTCATTAACTTATAAGAACTAAGAACGTCTATGTAATCTGTAAACAGACGATAATGTTTTCCACGTACGTCTTATTCACTTAAGTGGAAGGCTTTCCTCAAGGAAATTGCCTCAAATGGCACCTCGTGGAGGCTGACGTGCTAACTGCCTTTTAACTCTTTAAACTAATATATATTTGTTTAAACAGTTTGCAATTCAAGGTGCTTTAAACCTTTTACTCAAAGAGAAAAGGTCTCTTATCGCTTGTAGAAATTATGGATGGATTTCAAATATACAAGTATTAAAATGGTACAAATGAAATTTCTCTTTAATTTAAACAGGCGCTTCAGAAACTGTTGTTTGTTAATATAGTCGAGAACTACGGTATTTCAATAATAATTGACACAATTAATTCAAAATTAATGAGGTATTCAAACAAATTGATGTTAGAATAAGTTTTATAATAAATAAAGGTTGCTTGGTTAATGATGTAAAAATATAAATTCTATTATTATCCTATACGGGCATCGTAAATAGTTTGCAGACAAAATCAATTTAATCTTCAATTCTACATAACGTACTTTGTAACACACGGAGTGGCATGGCAAAGTTTTGGAAACCAAAACTGTAGAACCGTAAGTTTGTAAAGACTAGAATATCCAATGTTGCCTAAAATTGCCATTTCATTGTTGGACGGAATTGATTTTGTTATACATACATTCTATTCAAATTTGTTTTAAATAAAATGTATGTATATGTGAGACAAAACATCACCATCTTAATATAAAATTGTCAACATTTTTGATGACCATAATTGCGTATGCTTTATTATCATAATTAAGCTTTTTTATTGTTCATTTGATGAAAGTGTGGTAAACATTAGCATCATGGCTATTCATAATAAAGTCATTATGTGAATAAATGTTAATGACGTTATTTACAAGGCGTCTGCTCGCCGATCATTAGTAGTCACCATTATCATATTAAACTGGATATGCCATAGCTTTATCAATAAATTTTAACAAGCTTCTTACTTTGTACTAATATAATAATAGTTTTCTGTGTTTGTTTTATTACGTTACCAATGTAAATGAAGCGAAAATTGTATAAAATTTATAATATTTAAAGCATTTTATCTTCACCGTTGATGTGAAAATAACTTTTATAGGGGAATAAAAATCATTAAAGTCGTATTACGATATTATATATCTGTGTCTTCTCAATATCAGATAGGTGTGTTGGTCGCTTTGTTTTTGAGTAAAGACTAACGAGCCGTTGCCTTGATAGCTCACATATTTTTTGCAAAGTATAAATCTAGGTTTAACGACGGCTTAAATATTTTTTAAAGCAAGCCATATAGACGATTTTAAAGATTCATTACTGTGTGAGATGTAATAAAAAGAAAGCAATAATAACAAATTTACTTAGAAAGAAAATCTTTCCGTTTATTAAATAGGAATTCCAGTTTAAGAGAAGAATTTCGAAGGAAGAAGTGAATAAAATTTAATCCGATTATTCAATATTTCAACCGGTTTGTAATAATCCTATTACTAGTAGAATAAACAATTACACATTTTTACATAAATGATTACATATTTTTTATAACAATTACATAAAGAATTATATTTTTTTTTTATTAAAAATGCAGATTTTATTGTTCTCAATCTTAACGTGCAAAAAAAAACTACGCTATAGTTTATTCAGAGTGTAAAACATGTTATTTTAGTGTATTAACCTTCGACCTTGTGTTCTGAACCCTTTCTTAATAGCAGTGAAAGAACATGCTCTTGCGCGGACAGGATAATGTCTTCATTTGAGATAATTCCACCGGCTGAGGTTCACATTCCAACGAGATGGGTGGGATGAACAATCTTATTAACTATACAACATTTTATACGCATCAGAAAATATGAGCTACACTGAGATCTTTCAACCTATTGCTTTTATTGGATTAAGTATCGCAGAAACTAACAAATCCTGCACTGAGCCGAAAGTTTTTTATGAATTAGGTATGCAAAAACTTTACCATTCTTTCTTTTTATCATAACTAAAAACAGAAGTATCTAAATATTTTGCATATAGTGGTATTTCGCAGCGATGAATCTCAGTCACACTTTAACCCAGCGGGTTATTATTATTCTTGCGACAAAACACAGGCTTATTAAAAATGCCAAAACCGCGTCGTTTCCTAAAATTGTTCACCGTAGTCTAAATATTTTATAACAACCACGTTGCGCAAATTGCAGCTTATTCTTAACATGGTGTAGAATTATTTTAGTCTGTGCAGTTTAATATTGTAAAACTGTTTAAGTTTACCCTTAGGATATAAATTTATGTAAAACAGAGAAGCAAGTGTAATATTTTGAATCCGCTGAGTTTTTATGGAATATCATGTGTGCATAGATTCGAATAACTATAAATTACTATGCATGTCATATACGTTTTTCTTATTTAAGTATAGAACAGTTTATGATAAATAAGAATTCGTTTCTAAAATTATCCAGACTACTTTTACGTGTATTAATATCTAAAATGGAGAAGCTTACTTACTTTCTTTACATTCGAGTGAAGTCACGGCAAGAATCCAATATTTTATAATAATAATATTACATTAAGTCACTCTTGGTTCTAGAGGAATTTAATTTTAGACGGCGTTTTGAATGAACCCTTGAGGTGACCTCAATATTAAAAGGTCGGAACTTATTTTTTGCTTCTTAATTATACATTTGAGAAATTACGGAAGAAAATGTGTTAAAAGATTTAATAAAGCTTTCAACAAATTGAATCCCATCATTTATTAAATGGTTGCAACCTATTCTATTATTCCTTCTATATTATATTTATTACATTTGCTATCATAAACCGGGATGTTATCATATTAAATGTAAATCTTAAAAGTACTTAAAATACACATCAAACATAAGGCAATACATTTTGTTATAGACAAGTATATTAAGACAATTCACACACAAAAAATTAAGGTAAATAACCCTTTCGCCTAGTAATTGGTGTATTTGACGTAAATTGAAGGCAAGGCAACCACAGAAAGTAACTGCCTATTAATGTCCCATTTGCCGAAAGGACTCTTATTATAAGGGCCCTTGACGTTTTACGTGGTTAGAAATTACACAAATTCGGCGCACTCAGAAACCATATTGGGGATCTAAACGTGATTAGCCCCTGCGAAAAAGGTGTTCGGAGACCTTTTCACTTATAATATATTGACAGTTTGGTTGAGTCAATTATATAAAAATAAAAATATGTACTCACCTTTTTATTTTTTACTAAAGATATATATTTTTTGACAATCATCCTCTGTTTAAGGTGAGTATACATGAGCGTGTGTTCAGTGTATTTAATGGTAAGTAAATAGCTTAA